CACATTTCCTTATGACAGATTCTCACCTAGATAACAGACTTCACCTCCTCGTTGGAGGATACAGGGTGCTTTTCCCTCTACAATGCTCTGGGTCTACCCCTAGTCTCCTTTGTTCCTGTCAAATACTATTAACAAGAAGGAAGGAAACCACTATTGAGTGACTAGTTCCATAGGGTCAAGTATATTCATGTCCTACATCTCATCTTGACAGCACCATTTTCTCCTGCCAGAGCTGTGTGGCCATCACCTAAGAGGCTCAACAGTATCCCCCGAAATACCCCAAAAGTGATGGTAGTTRGGACAGGGAATTGGGACAAGGGCCCGAACCTTCCCATGCTGAGACCATCAGGATTCTGCATCCTGATCCTCATCTATTTTGGACAAGAGTTGTTTAAAAACTTAGCTTATGTTAGCCTCTTCCGGTTCTAAAAAGAAAGCACTGTGCAAAAAAAATGCCTCAAAAAAACCCTCTGAACTTACCTATTTTTTAAAAGTCTGTAACTACATTATGTTCACTAGTGTTTTATTTTACCCAGCAGATTCAACTAAGAAACCCCACTTGCCTTCAAAGCCACCTCACCAGACAGTGAGGTGATCAATGGCCTATTTCTTCTCTATACTGGGAGTCCCTTTCAGACCAGAACTGGGCTCTGCACAATGAATCTAGCAATGTCTGGCATCCAACATTCATTTATTGAGTAACTGGGATTAAAAACCTAACTCTTCCCTGCTGCTGTTCAGCCTGTCAGAACAAGAAAAAAAAAATCACCMGAGGCTCTCCTATGGTTTATATTTATACACCTGCATAAATATAATACACACAGTATGAAAGAACAGAAGCAAGTTGGTTGGTAGGGAAGTTGATCTGGGATTCCAGATGCAAGTAACAGGGTGGAGCATGCCTTTCTTCAGTTTGAGCAAGTGAGAGCTTCTCTCTGTTTTCTCAGCTGTGGAATCTGGTACCACCACTTACATGCAAGTGGTGGTAGAACCAGAGAGACTATTTCCTGTTGGTTAGCAAAGTGAAAACAAAGCACACATAGCTATTATTTCCACTTTCCTGAAACAGCTCCCTTCACCTCCATTCTCTTCACTCCAGTCTCAACCCTAAGCTGAGAAAGACAGGCTGCAGGCAGGCAAATGAGTACAGAAAGGAAAGGAAGTCATTCAGAAAAATAGCCATTTTCTCCATGCTTCTGAAATGAACTTGGATTTGACCACACTGATGGAGAACCTAGCCAGGATGACTGGCAACCTGATGATACAAAATACAAGCTGCTTCTCAGCCGTTTCCTCCCTTAAGTATGCTTAACCAAGTTGCTCCTTCCAAAAACTGATATGACCTTGGGTCAAGGTGGTTTAAAAAAAATTTTTATTTTAGACACAATGCAGTCTCAGTGACTTCATATTGGTCAATGCTTGGTATTAAATACATACACAGAATTGAGTCACTCATATTTTTCCTATAGTGTAAATTAGAAGCAAAAAAATATTTAGCAGGTTCCTAATTCCTTAATAGGAAATAATTTCTACAGAACCAACGCAGTTACCAGGAGGGTTCTCATTAACTCTGAACCCCAGGTGTCACCTGAGTGGAGGTCCTAAGAGGTGACCTATCACCACAGAGTAAGAACAGGCTCACTGCTCAGCAGTGATAGGGAGGTCTTTTAGTTATRTGTTGCTAACTGCACTTCTTGTGCYTTCTGTCCCAGAGCCTGTCACCATGTACCTTCAGATGCTGATGGAAGTCGTCCCACCAGAGAAAGAAACTGAGTAACAAGTTCATTGCTTGTAGCCCAGTCAAGACTGTGATGAATTTATTTTTGTAAGCAATATTTGTGGTTATTTCTTCCTGATATTTTTCTTAAGGGAAAAAAATATGCCCAGGTGTTTGTATAATATTATTTTTAGATAGTCTTCATTCTCTGAATAGAGGTCTTGACAGAAGTGACAGGTATTTGCCAAAGTTAAAAGGAGAGAACATCGCCTAACAGAAAGATGATGACTGGGAAAGGGCTGTATAAAGACCATCACCAGGTGGGGCTGGGGAAGCCCAGTAGTAGAGCACTTGCCTACCATATGCAAGGCATTGGATTCCATCCCCAGCACTGCAAGATAAATACATAGATAAATAAAAAATAAAGGGTATTCCTTAAACTCATATGATCAATAAGGTCTATTCTGGTGATATTTTTGCTTTGATTGACATAAATTTTTTAAAAATCTCACAATTTTTTTTCTCCACTTTTCAGAAAAAATATTGCCACCCCTGTATTTAACTGTGATATACATGATATGTCTGTGCTGGGCTGAATAATGAGGCCCCCACTGCAAAGTTGACCATCCACCTAGAACACTGAAAGTCTAATGTGCTTACACAGGAGCTCTATCCAGGTCAACATCACTTGCTTCCCAACAGCCCACTAGCATCTTGGTCACCAAAAGTGTGGTGAAATAAATTTTATTTTGTACTTGGCACCCAAGGAAAATACAGTTTAAAAAAATGAAAACATGCTGGGCACACTGGTGCACACCTATGATCCCAGCAGCTTGGGAGGCTGAGGAAGGAGGACCACAAATTCAAAGTCGGCCTTAGCAATTTAGTGAGACCCTTCCTGGCTCAAAATAAAAGATAAAAATAAAGAGCTGGCGATGTGGCTCAGTGGTTAAGTGCCCTGGGTTCAATCCCTGGTACCCAAAAAAAAAAAAAAAAAGAAAAAAAAGAAAAGAAAAAGTAACATTTCTGTGAGGACACTGAAACTTTATTAATGATACACTGCAAAGGCATTCACATCAGAACTGTGAGAGAAATTTTAGAAGCACAGATGAAAAAAAATTTCCCTTACGTTTCAGAAATCAGTACATTTTAATAGCAGTACAGAAAAACAATTATGAATCCTTTACATAGTCAGCATCCTATGTCCATCGAAATATTGTTCAGAGCTTCAAATATTAGCAACATTGAATGTCTGAAACAAGAAGTTGAGACTTAAACATATAGCCCTTCTCCCTCAATATTCCTACTGAGCTACTGGTGAACTGTGAAAAGAACTGGCACCGTGTCCTGACATAGGCCCTGCCATCAACACTGGGAAGCAACCTTCTATAGCTCTAGATCCTGCCATTATTGTTCACAAAAGACTACACACAGCTAAGCATAGAGGACGGGCAGCCAGTGGGTACCCATGGGATGCTCTCTGGAGGTGCAGGCACTGCCCCAAGCYCTCCCTCAGCAGGGGCATACCTGAACCTACAGAAACTGACACTAACAAGGATGAGCACCAAAGTAGAACCTTGCCAGAAGACACCAGATCTTTTTGCTTCCTGAAGAGCCTGCCCAATGTAGCCATCTCATTCATGGGCCAATTTGATAGCTGGCAGCCAACCATGAGAGTCACAGCAGCAGCAAGGACATGCTCCTGGAAGCTCTTCAGGCTGGACCTCATCCTCTGACTGTAGTGCAGTGGTTGGTGCCCATCACAGAATCCCTGGACAAAAAAGATGGCCTGCCCCAACAGCACTCTGGGCATGCTCTGTGGCAAGGGGAGGGTATGCAATTATCTCAGCGTTTTATTTTACAGATGAGAAAAGTGAGAGCCAGAATCCTGCTCATGGGATGGCTTGATGAGAGAATTTATCTTCAGTTCAACCAGTAGCTTACAAGGAGGATGTACATAAGCTTGGGCATCTGTGCTTCTGGTGTTAAAAAAAAAAAAAAAAAAAAGAAGAAACGTCTTGGGGCAGTCACTCAACAGGCATGTTCTATCAATGTTTTTTACCACTTCTTGGATAAACTGAAAAACTGATATTGAGGGACAGGGTTTAAAATTTCCCAACAGCTCACCTCCCCAACTTTTTTAAATGAACAAAGCATGCAGGGTATTCTACAACTATGCCTCCTGGCCTCCTGGCCTCCTACATCTAAGTGGCAGTGACTATACATACTCCTCCCAAGAAGCTGGTAACCCTAGGTGCCACAACCTTTCAAAAGGATCAAGTCATGAAAGTWTTCAGGGCTCACCTCATCCAGGTGTTCTCATAGTTACTCCCAGATACTGCAAAGGTCCCTTTTAAGTGTCCAAAAAAGAAAACTTTGTTCCATTTGCCCTGGACTCTGCAAGTCCAAAGGGGCAATTTAGAACCAGCACTGTCACATCCAGAAAGCCCTGGGTCTTCTGGTCTTCCTAAGGCAATCCCATACTGTCTTGGGGAAAAAAATCAACTTGCTTGGAAGCTATCMAGATCTGGAGAATACTGAAAGTTTTAGTACCTGTACACAGTGATGGCGAATCCTGACTAACTGAATCAAGCTTGAAGGGCTCTGTTAAGCAGTTGCTGAACATGAATTTATTTGTAAAATGGAAGTCTCATATGCCTAACACTGGGTTTTAAGCAATGTACCACCAAATGCCTAAATGAAAAAAGAAGTGGTTGTGCAYGCCTGTAATCCCAGTGGCTCAGGAGGCTGAGGCAGGAGGATTACAAGTTTAAAGCCAGCCTCAGCMACTTAGCAAGGCCCTAAGCAACTTAGTAAGACCCTGTCTCAAAAATAAAAATTAAAAAGGGCTGGGGATGTGGCTTAGTGTAAGAGTCCCTGGGTTCAATCCCTAGTACCAAAAAAAAAAAAAAAAAAAAAGTACTAACTGCATATGGTGAGATTCAAATCTCAAATGTCACAGTTTGTGCTTGTTCAAACTTGTATATGTCTGGATGAGTTATTAGAGGCAGTGAAGCAGACTCCTGTACAATCTGGGTTCTGCTTCTGACTCTAGATCCTGCTTCCACCACCTTCGACAATCTCATAATTTTTAACCTATTGTTAAGTCAACTAAGAATTCTCACCAGTACTGATCCACTGCCACAAGATGACACTTAGTAATAATTTATCCTTCAGGCACAAAAAGGTTTGGCTATGACTACTTGTTTTCTTAAAGTCCAGTCACTTAGCAATGTTTTTGTTCAAAGTCTTCCGGCCATTCTTCTGGATTTACTTCACATTCTCATTCACTCTCACTTCCGTCATCCTCCGAAGTGATGTCACTGTTTTCAACCACCTCTGCCACTTTGCAGGACAGGTTTTTAGAATTTATGACTATAAAAGTTAGATAATATATATGTTAAGAATAGTCTATTTGGCAAATCTTTGTTCCCCTTTATTTTGGTCAGTGCAGAAAATGTCCCTTGGGTTCTAGTTCAATCTAGCCATTTATTTGATATTTCTATTATTTTAGGTAAGAAATGAGCTGGTAAAATTTGCTCAAAAATAAATTGTTCATCTAGGTCAAATGTCATACAAGTGTTATAAGAAAGTGTGTTTATTACCAAGAGGTGGTAAATTCTCATACCACAACATTTAGCACCAAGATCAATCACAAAGAGAAAGCCAATTTCTAAGGGCTTTATACCAAATAGCATTTGCACAAAACCCGACTCCCTAAAGTGCAGATATGCACCACCCACACCATGCTCAGGACCCTCATCCCTTTAGGGAATAGTTATTTCACATCTTACTCTTGGAGAAAGGGCCTTCTTCCTCACATTCTTCCCAGTGATCAAAGTCAAATGCCACATTAGGATTCTGTTCAATAAAACAGCTCGCATAAGTGAACGAGTATAAAACCCATGGTGTGCAGACCAGTCAGCCACAGTGCGTTCAACTCACCCTCTGTTTGAGTAAGTTACACCAGGATTCTCTTTTCTCTTTTGCAAGTGTGATTACAGGCTCCTCATTTTTAATTACACACTTGCATTCATCTTTTCTTATGTTGGCCTGTAGCTCCATATCAGCCAAGTAAAATTTGTCTCCCACCCAGGCACTAGATTTATAAAAAGAATAAAGTCAGCCTTCTAGCATGTTGGAAATTATTTCTATTTTATTTTATAAGCCATGTATAAACTTACCTGAAAATGACTCTATCTCTGAAGTATTTACATTTGTAATCTTTTACATTCCTTATTCTTATTTTCAAGATGACRACATCTTCTTTTTGGAACCACTTTACTTGTGGGTGAAAGCTAGAAGGAAAGATAAAGGCTTACCAGTATTTAGTCACCAATCAAGGGGAGCATGTGCTCTGGCAACAGGGAGACATACCTTTTCAGGTGTGGCTGTGCGCTTTTGCTAACGGGAGCAGCTCCTGTGTCTTCAGATGAAGTGTCTGTACAAAACCAAAGTCAAATTTTCCTACAGGTTATTTATATACAACACATACACAGTTATAGGTACACATACTCTTTTGCAACATACCCAACATTTAGACAAGGGATTACATAAAAGTATATATTTCATAGAAACCCAATATCCAGTTAAAAAGAATAATTAGAGGGCTGGGGTTGTGGCTGAATGGTAGAGTGCTTGCCTAGCATGTGTGAGGCACTGGGTTCTATTCTCAGCACCACATATAAATAAGTTAAAACAAAAATAATGGTCCATTGACAACTAAAAAATATTTTTAAAAATAATTTTTAAAAAATTAAAGAAAGAAGTCAAAGAAGACCTTAGAAGATGAAAAGATCTACCTTGCTCTTGGATAGACAGAATTAATAAAAATGACCATACTTCCAAAAGCACTAATTTAATGCAATTCCCAATGGCATTCTTCATAGAAATAGAAAAAAACAATCATGAAATTCATCTGGAAAAATAAGAGACCCAGAATAGCCAAAGCAATCCTTAGCATGAAGAGTGAAGCAGGTGGCATCACTATACCAGACCTTAAACTATACTGCAGAGAAATAGTAAAAAAAAAAAAAAACAGCATGGTATTGGCACCAAAACAGACTGGTACACCAATGGTACAGAATACAAGACACAGACACTAACCCACAAAATTACAATTATCTTATATTAGACAAARGTKSCAAAAACATGCACTGGAGAAAAGATAGCCTCTTCAACAAATGGTGCTTGGAAAACTGGAAATCCATAAGCAACAAAATGAAATTAAACCCCTATCTCTCACCACGCACAAAACTCAACTCAAAATGGATCAAGGACTTAGGAATTAAACCAGAGACCCTGCATCTAATAGAAGAAAAAGTAGGCCCTAATCTCCATCGTGTGGAATTAGGCCCCAACTTCCTTAATAAGACTCTTGTGGCGCAAGAATTAAAATCAAGAATCAATAAATGGGATGGACTCAAACTAAAATGTCTCTTCTCAGTAAAAGAAACAATCTGTGAGGTGAATAGAGAGCCTACATCTTGGGAGCAAATCTTCACACATCAGATAGAGCACTAATCTCTAGGGTATATAAAGAACTCAAAAAGCTAAGCACCAAAAAATCAAATAACCCAATCAATAAATGGGCCAAGGACCTGAACAGACACTTCTCAGATGATGATATACAATCAATCAACAAATATATGAAAAAATGTTCATCATCGCTAGCAATTAGAGAAATGCAAATCAAAACTACTCTAAGATTTCATCTCACTCCAGTCAGAAATGACAGCTATTATGAAGACAAACAACAAAAAGTGTTGGCGGGGATGTAGGGGAAAAGGTACACTTATACACTGATGGTAGGACTGCAAATTGGTGCTGCCAATATGGAAAGCAGTATGGAGATTTCTTGGAAAATTGGGAATGGAACCACCATTAGACCCAGCTATCCCTCTCCTCAGTCTATACCCAAAAGACTTAAAAACAGCATACTATCCAGTCAGAATGGTAGCTACTATGAAGACAAACAACAATAAGTGTTGGCAAGGATGTGGAGAGAAAGGCACACTCATACATTGCTGGTGGGACTGCAAATCGGTATAGCCAATATGGAAAACAGTATGGAGATTCCTTGGAAAACTTGGAATGGAACCACCATTTGACCCAGCTATCCCTCTCCTTGGTCTATACCCAAAGGACTTAAAAAYGGCATACTACAGGGACACAGCCACATCAATGTTTATAGCAGCACAATTCACAATAGCTAAACTGTGGAAGCAACATAGATGCCCTTCTGAAGTAGTTGTTTTAATAAACATTTATTAAATGGAAAATCAAGTGAATGGATAAAGGCAGGAAAAAAAAACAAGATAAAAATARCTGCAAAGGACTATAACAATTTTAAATGTTGTTTGTACCAAGAAATAAAAATTAAGGTGAAATTATTACTAAAGACTTAAAATGCAGATGTCATAATGCTGTTGACGTTATGAGGAGACAGGATTCTTACTTTCTGCTCAAGTGAATATCTATTGTTTTGTTATTTTTGGAAAGTAATAAGGGCCTTAAAAATGTACCTTGTCTCTTTGAAACAATGATTAAACCACACTTCTGGTGATATTTTTAAAGGAAATAATTTAAAAAAAACAAATGTATTATTTATAGTCATTTAAAAAATGAGAAAAAACCCACATGTTCAAAAATGCTGATATGGATACATCAATTAGAATAAATTCATGTAATAAAATGTTCTGCAGTCATTGAAAAGAAAATTTGTAAATAATATTTAATAGCATGGAGAAATAGTTATATTTATAATTTAAATGAAATAGCATGATAAAATGTATAAAAACTGATTTCAACTATTAAAAAATGTAACAAAAAGTATTAGCATGAAATACACCAAAATGATAATAATGGTTATCTCCAGGTGGTAGGATTATGGATGATTTTTATTTTCTCTATATTTTCCAAGTTTCTCACAATGAGTTTTTAATTAATATAATAATAAATAGCATATTATAAAACATGGTACATATGCTTATAATTTAATAGACAAATAAAATGTTTAAAATTAAAAAAAATTAAAAATAACAACAACAAAAAAAGAATACTACAAGGGCASAGCCTCATCAATGTTTATAGCAGCACAATTCACAATAGCTAAACTGTGGAACCAACCTAGATGCCCTTTAATAGATGAATGGATTAAAAAAATGTGGCATATATACACAATGGAATATTACTCAGCAATAAAAGACAATAAAATCATGTCATTTGCAGGTAAATAGATGCAGTTGGAGAAGATAATGCTAAGTGAAGTTAGCCAATCCCAAATAACCAAATGCTGAATGTTTTCTTTGATATAAGGAGGCTGATTCATAGTGGGATAGGAGGAGGGAGCATGGAAGGAATAGACAAACTCTAGATAGGGCAGAAGGGTTGGAGGGATAGGGAGTGGGCATGGGGTTATAAACTATGGTGGAATGTGATGATCATTACTATCCAAAGTACATATATGAAGACACAAATTGGTGTGAATATACTTTGTATACAACCAGAGATATGAAAAATTATGCTCTATATGTGTAACAGGAATTGTAATGCATTCTGCTATTATATATAAAAATCTGCATATTTGTATTTTAACAATGTAGCTAAAACTTGATGTCCTTTTTTTTCCTTTTTGGCTTAATGAATATCATTTATTTCAAATGAAATCTTTATACTATATATTCCATGAAATCCCTGGTACCCATCCTCAAAAAGAATACATGTATATTAAATCTTGAAAAAAAAAAACGAAATCAGAATGGATGCCACTGGGGAGGGTTCTGGAAACCTTCAAAAGCAAAACCTAGGTGTGGCTAGAGGACATATACATAAGTACAAACCCTGAGARCTGCCCATTTAGCACCTGTGTACTTCACTGGACATCTGTTATGCCTCAAAYTGTTTGAAAAAAAACACCATTGGAAGATGAATCATCAAAAAGAGGAACAGTTAGGTATGACAGTTTGCGTTATTTTCTCTGTATTTCATCTACCAGTGGAAAGCAGTTCTAAACATTAGTGATTTCAAGTTAGCCACCTTTTTTTTTTTAAGAGAGAGAGAGAGAGAATTTTTAAAAAAATATTTAGTTTTTAGTTTTCGGTGGACACAACATCTTTATTTTTATGTGGTGCTAAGGATCGAACCCAGCACCCCGCACATGCCAGGTGAGTGCGTTACCGCTTGAGCCACATCCCCAGCCCCATCCATCTTTTAAATAAAAAGTACCAACCAGGCTTTAGGTTCTCTGAGTTCAACTCAGAGCCAGCTCCTTTTTCTGCATTCCTGTCCTCTTGCTGTGTGTCCTGCAGACAAGCAGCATCTTCTACTAATGGAGGTGTCCTGGATAGAAAAGGTGGAGGTTAACTCTGGAACTTCAAGAGACACTTGGGCAAAGGAAGAGAATGGCAGGCAATAAATGAATGAAGTGCTCGGTACCCTGCAGACAGACTCACAAGGAGTTTACGATTTATTTATTGATGACAGGGCAGGGCTGGGCAGCTCTGCTCACTACTATGCCCTTACATCAAGCACACAGTGGATGACCCGCATTAGAGAAAGGCATTCACTCATTTACTTTTACTTCAACAATTTTCCTTCCAAATTCATTGGAATTTTGAGACTAGMAACATACACTGCTACCCGACTTCACACAGTACAGAAGAGCAGAAGTGAAAACAGTTTCCTTCATCCCTGCTTGTGTTTCAGACCATCTTTCCCAGAGACTACACCATTTTAAATCAACTTCTAGAAATATTCTTTGCATAAAAAAGCAAATATTGCCATTTATATCTATCTGAAACACAGAGATAGTCATATTCTTCAACATGTGGGAACCTGCTAAATCCACTGTGATACCCCAGTTTATTTTATCTAATAACCAGCTAGGGATTATTTCATATCAGTACATTGAGGGCTGCCTTGTTCACTTAAGTTTTTAAAATTGTACTATTCTTTTGGTTCTCTGAGCAAATAGCCACATTCATGGAGGTCTACACAATAAAAAATGTCCCTTGCACCCCTCTTTCCCAGCTAGCCAGTCATAGATGACAATGTAATTCACTTTTTGTGCATCCTTTCAGAGATAATTCAAGCCAGAGTGAGCAGACCTATGCAGAACAGCTACATACTCACAGATGTCTGTGAGGAGGTGTCAACGTGTATCTCCAAGGTGGCCTCTGAGAGACATGTGTGAACCTGGGGCATGGCATTGAGCAAATGGTGAAGGAGAGCATACCGTGCCCACCAATGCAGGCGCTCCACCCCAGGCCTCCTCTTCCTCACGTCCTGTTCCTCCCGCCCTCCTCTTCCACCATCACTGACCTCCTGCACTAGATCCTCCTCCACCAGGTCTGTTTCTTCATCCTCACACTCACCAAAGTCTTGATTCTCCTCAAATGCCAGCAAACCAACAGTCTTTCCCTGCTGCTTCCCTGAGCTCTGGGCTTATACTTTCAATAAACCTAAAACAGCATGTCTAAAACCAAACTTAGTATCGTCTTCCTTTCTGAAGAGCTACTCGCTGGAAAACACTGTCTGCCATGCAAACRTCCTCACAGTCGCTGGGTTTCAGAATCATGTTCTCTATATCTGCCAATCACTATCTTACGGCTTCTCCACCTGTCAGTGCCCAGAATATATCCTGTTGGGGGATACTAGCCTTCTTCTCATCTAGGTAATTGCCACCCCATCCTCCATCTCCTGTATACTGTCTTTCCTCATCCCAACATGCTGTGTCAGCTGTATTTTTAGAATCCTAAAAAAGTTTTCCTCATCCACTGACTACCTACTCAGGTACAAATGCTGAACATCATCCTGAAGTCTTCCACACCCCARTGAACCCAGCCTTGTAAGCCTTCTCACCATCAACCTCACCATTCATTGTTACTTCAACTTGCCCCAACCTCATCCCATCCCTGTATCATTTCTCCAAGGGTTACTTCTCCGCAGCTGTTCCCTCTCTACCCATTGGAATTTCCTGCATTCTCTAAGAACTCTCTGACGTAGAGTCTCCTAGTTGGGCTTCTTCTGTAAGACCTCGTGGTGCTCTGTAGCTCTCTCCTCTGCCTGTGACTGCGGCAATGTTGTAATTCTCTCTGCTCAGTTTCAAAATCACAGTATGGAAAGGGAACCAGCAGAGGCTTTGTGCAAAACTGGGGCTTCCCATAAATGACCAAACCTCATATGTTTATTAAATCTGAATTGTAAAGGCACCTTCATTTTTAAAAGAATCTCTAGTAAGTAGGAGAAATTTCTCTCATTTCCAAAAGTGGGAAGAAACCAACTGATATTTCAATTCCATAGAAACTCACAGATGGGTCTGGCTATGTTGCCTAGGTGGGCCTCACCCTGCCTCAGTCCCCCACATAACTGGGATTACAGGTGGGCACCACCATGCCTGGCTACCGTTCCTCCACATCCTTGATACGGGGACTTCCTTTCTCTTCTCTCCCTTCATGCTGGAGCTGTGGTGCTGTTGACTATGGTTTGAATTTGCACTTCCTGGCTGGCTAATAAGCTTGGGCACCTTTTCACAAAGCAACTGGACACTGTGAAGTGGCTATTCAAGTCTTTTGTCCCCTTTCCTAATAGAGGTCCACATTTTTCTTTATGATCAGGAGTTCTTGGTACAAATCATCTGGTGAACACACATGCTGTGTCCATCTTCTCCCTCTGTGGTTGCCTGTATACCCTTTCAGAGCGACTTCATGGTCACTCATGTACTGCTTATGGGTGTGTAAACTGTGCAGCCACTTTGGAAAACTGATGGACAGTGGCTCTAATTATGACTCAGCAATTCCATTCCATCGTAACTCTCTCTCAGTGCACCGAAAGACATGCAGGAGACACCACTGCCTGAAGTACCCCCCAAGTGGAAGGTCTCAGGCAACAGCAGAATGGGCAAAACAAATCATGGTCCATTCATACAAAGGGACATGATGTAGCAATGAATGCTCAGATCCACAGCAGCATACACAACTAGATGAACTGCACAAGCAATGCTGAGTTAAAGAAGCTAAACAGAGAAGAGAATTACTGCTGATTCCATTCAAACCAAGTTCAAAACCAGGGAAACCCCGTCTATGCTTTTCCATGACAGAATGACTTTCCTTGAGRGGGGAGGAGGCTCTGAGTCATGCTCTGTTTTCTTGATCAGAGGCTGGTTTCCCAGCTGTGCTCAAAAAAATCCATCAAACTCTTCTTGTGACATGTGCACTTTTCTGTATGTGTGCTATTTGCCAACAAAGAGTTAACACAAGTCCATTCTGTAAGAGATTCAGGTAAAGCTGGGCGCAGAAGCATACACCTGTAATCCCAGCAGCTCCTGAGGCTGAGGCAGGAGGATTGTGAGTTCAAAGCCAACCTCAGCAACTTCGAGGCACTAAGCAATTCAGTAAGACCCTATCTCTAAATAAAACACAAAATAGGGCTGAGGATGTGGCTCAGTGGTCGAGTGCCCCTGAGTTTAGTCCCCAGTACACCTGTCCTCTCCACACACACCCCAAAAAAGAGAGGGAGGGAGAGAAAAAGGTGAAATAGTTACTAGATACACAGGTGAAATAACACACTTGAGATCTGCTTGATTATACTCCACAAAAAACTRCAGTTGGGGAATTGGGGCTGTAGCTCAATGGTAGAATGCTTGCCTAKCATGAGTGAGGCACTGGGTTCAATCCTCAGCACCACATAAAAAGAAACAAATAAAATAAAGGCATTCTGTTCATCTACAACTAACAACAACAACAACAACAAAGAGTTGGGGTATGGATAAAACAAGATTCCCTGATCCTTGATAGTTATCAAAACTGAGTGACAGGGATGTGGAGACTCATGTAACTTAACACTTAATATTTCCTTAAAACAAAACAGCTCTTCCAAAAGGGAGGCAGAACTGTACTTACCGAGGTTGGCTTATGTGTGCTTCAAAAGTTGGCATTTTAGCTCCTTTGTATAATTTTTTCAGTTGTTCTATGTGTTCCGAATTGTCAATGCCCATTCCCATAGACAAAATTTCAGCTCGAACATTATAATCAATGACAGAAGTTTTCAAATTTGAAAGTTTTGTAACATGTACCTTGAATCAAAGAAAAAACATGCATTTGAAGAAGTCACTCTCTGAATTTTAACTGAATCATGAATACTCTCATGTGGTCTCTCAGTCTCTTTCTGCATATCTGATGTGCTCCAGAACATGCCACAACACACAAGAGGTACCCACTGCAACATCTGTGTATTTCACAACTGAGGTTACATCAAATCTTCCCAAGCCTAAACCCACATGGTGGAAATATGATCTAGTGTGGGACTGAATCTGGAATAAAACCCCTATTCCAGACTAATCTGTGGTGCTGTAACAAGATACAAAATTCTTACATTCTTCTGATTCTCACTCAACTATTTTTATCTCTATCAGCAAGGAGGAGCCTAAGGCTCAGAGTCCTATCATGTCCAGAGAGGGCTTATCCCAAAAGCCTAAATTTTGTGTTCTGGACTATTTCCTCTACTTGTCTTTTCTGCAACCCAAATACTCTCATTCATTTAAATTTATACAAAACTAACTGAACCACAAAAATCTGCAACAGTCTGATGCCTGTGGAGGGGAGGTGTGGACACAGGACTGAGTGTCACAGTGAAGCAGGGGTAGGCCAGGCTGGCCCTTCCGGGCACCTTCCTGAGTGAACCCTGGGCATATGTCTCACACTTGGCAATGTRCATGAAAGCCTTTCTCCACTCAAAATGAGACAGAGCTGGTCTGGGTGGAGAAGTTGGCAAGATTGGGGGTCAGCTTCCTTCCAGTGTGTCAATGGACATTGAGGCACACTTTGCAGCTGTGGGAACATATCTGCCAAGTGGGTTTTCTTTTTTGCTTCATTCTATAAGCAGCAGTTTTAGAAATTCCTGCTAAAGTTTCCTGAAAACAACTATAATACTACAACAACATCAACTAAGACCCCCCCACCCCCAAAAATCTGCTTATCTGCATTGGTAATTTACATTTTCTCTTCTTAAAACTATTTCTCTCTTATCCTTAAATCATAAGCCAAACTCCTCTTTTAAGGCATTAGAACTTTGCTAACTTTATAAAAACTACCTTTAGCAAAACAATTTTGAATTGAATTCCTTAAAAATCTTACGAACAATCACAGGAATTAAGATTTGTCTAATATAGAAAACTCAGAGAGGGGTGTGCCAGCACCAGTGGAGAGCCATAGAGACCTGTATAYTGCATGTCCTTGTGTCACACTCATGCCCAACTCTACATCAGCATCAGAGGGCAGAAGGCCTCAGCTGCTTTGTTCAGATGGAACTCAAGGGCCCAGTACTGGTCCTAGCACATGGTAGGTGCTCAGTAAATATTTGGTGAATGAATAAGGTAGAAAAACCTATGTTTGAATGTCCAAGGACCAGAACTATCAGCATTACTGAGCATATCTTAGGTCTTTAGGATCATTTATAAACTAGCAAAGATGGATCCTCTACAGCAGTCATTGATCCCAGGTTTCTCATATGGGTGGATGGTGGGTTGTGAGACTGACTTAATTATTCATGATCAACATTAAGGAAGTTAAATAGAGCAGAATTGTAAATATTAGAGAACGTCACATGAAGTAAGAACAGTTTCATGAAACTTTAGTTTTATAAGTGAGAGTGCATGCACATCATATGTAGAAGGATTACTGGGTTACCATGTAAAACACTTAAAAAAAAAAAAAAAACGAAAAACCAAACCCACAACCAAATTCATGACTGAAATAACATGAAAAAGATGTCTCCCTAACTTAGAGCCCCAAATAAGCTGGGGTGCAAATGGTCATTCACACAGCACATTGGAAAAATTTGGACTATTTTAGAAGCCTACTCAAATTGAGATTTCTAATAAAACTGCATGCTTACCATCGGATCAATCCAAACTGTGTTTCCCAAAGCCAGTACCACTTTTGCATCATGCAATTTTCCAATAATTTTATGATGAATGTACCTGGTAACCTAAAAAAAGGACTTCAGTTATTTATCTGAAGCTTTAACAGAAGACTTTATTCAGTATATGCTGCATAATTTGCAAAATATTCTGTGTGTTTCATTTGAGCCTCACAACAACCCTATGGACTAGGGAGGCATCACCCCACTTCCTCAGTGAAGGTAACAACAGTTTATCAAGGAGAGATGCAGAAAGGTGCAGGAACTTGCCCAAGGGCTCATGCTAGTTGTTTCAGGAATGGGTAAGAGTCCATGTGGAGTATCTGGAATCCTAATATTAATTGTTTACTGCTGTGGACATGTATGCACTCATCACTTGCAYCAATTATCTTCTGTCTTCAGAGTATATATGTTTGAAAGACCAATAGAAGCAAAAAAAAAAAGTTGTTCTTGCTGCTCCAGAGGATGTCATGGCAATGGAGCTGCTCTGCTCTGCTAGACAGGGTCTGGGGGCACTGGTCTTTCATGTGCTCTTTTCTGAATGTGTCACTATTTTCCTCTCAAGGAGGGCCACAGCAGGTGAGGCCTGTCGGCAATCTTTCATGCACATTTTAACACCAATGAAGCAGAACAGGAGGGAAATGGTTAGTGACATGAGATTGTTTCCATTCCCCTTGAATCTATGAGTGCACCTGGAAGAACATATACAGGAGAACCTGTCCCCRTGTCTACATAAGGCTGCCCTTTAAGAAACAACTGTGGTCAGTTATCTTTACAGACCTTGTCTTGAAGACAAGGTCTTCTTCTTGCTGATGGCTATATACCCAGAACCCAGCACAGCACCTGGCACACAATAGACAGTAAATATTTAGTACAACAAATGGAAAAGACTGCCATTTGATAAAGGCTCTTTTCACTAAACCCACAATGGTAAGGTTGTGTATTCATCAAGAGACATTCATTTGCTTATTTCCCRGGCAGTATTTAACCTTGCTTATGACCCGAAATGTTTTCACTTTGCTAACTGCAATGGCTTATTTCATAATCCATTAATCAGATTCCACAAAATTCAACCTTCTCTTGAAGAATCAGGAGCACCTGCTCTGCGATRAGCCAGACAACGTGTGGTGCCTTTCTGCCCACCTTGGACAGCTGTGTGAGCCTGTGGGGCTGCTCTCTGGGCTCCATGTCTTGCCTCAGGCAGTGTTCTCTGCCTTAGATGCCCTTGCCATTCTTCTTGGTGACGTTCTAGTGACCCCCAYAGGGCCCAGAGGAAATGTCCTTCACATCAGAAGCTCCATCTCCCCTTCCTCCAWCACAGTGACCTGGCCACCACCTATGTCCCCACTTTGCCTGGGACTCATTTTCATTGGTGCTTGCACTGTTTCTCTTCCTTAAGCTGATAGCCAGTTCATCTTACCACAACCCCTGTRTTATATCAGTTCTAAGATGAGCACTAACAATGGAAGCCACAATGTCAGGGGTCCTCAACACTCTGGCTCAGGGCTAGTTCTATGCATGATGGCAGTTACTACAGTCCTGTACCAGCTGGGACTTTAAGCAGATCACACTCTAACTGCTTAGGATCATGAAGCAAACACTCAACACTCTAAATTCAAAAAAGCCTCAAGTCTGTGTATATTATGGGTTAAATATATTCCACAAGTTGACAAAACATAAAAAGCCAAAATAACTCACCTTTGGATTCCACTCAATTTCACCATCAGCAGGTTTCACTCTACATACAATAAACTCCACGGCCTGAGGAGGAAGAGTGTGGAAATGTTCTGGGAGATGCAACAGCTGGTTTCTTGTGGTAAGTCCAGTCCTGCCTTCATCTATGAACTTTATAAGGATATTATCCAGGACCCAAGTGTCTTCTTTTTGGCACATCTCCAACACCTGGACCCTGGAGAACAATGGTGGCATCGGTTTAACAAAGAGATTCCACAAGGAAATCATCTTTGCCTCAATTTACCCATCAAAAGGAAAACATACTAAAAAAAATGTTACACTGACTGCACTGTTTTACTATAAATTAGAAACAAAAAAAGGAAGGCCTTTCAGAATCCTTAGTGGCACATTACTTAAAATATACCTAAGCATAGAAACATGTAGTACTTCTGAATATAGGAAATAATTTTATCTGACAACATAAACAAAGTTAATATGGAAAATTAAAATTTCAAACTTTCTGACCCAAAGCTATCACCTGTAGCCCGCCCTGAGGTGGATTCAGGAAAAATGGGCATTAATGAGCAGGAGGGGCAGCCAGGCCAGGCTGGAACACTGACTGTGCCACCCACTGAGCTGCCCTTAGTCAACTCACTTAACATTCTCAGCTCAGTCTYCTTATCTACAAGAAGGGTATGATACCAATTTTATAGAAATTTATTAAGAATTAAACAAGCTGCAGATGTACGTGTATACTGCACACAGTGACAACTCCATGAATGTCCAGGATTGCACTGCCATTGTGATCTATGCTCAGGAGCCAAGGATGGAGTCTCTTGTGCAAAACTGTWCCAGGTGTCTGGGGTCACAGTGCATTGGGAGGGCCTCCTTAGAAGAAGCCGGGCCTGGTACACTCCCAGTCAGCCAATGGTGAACACAGGTGTTCAACACCATTTATATTACCTCATGCCTCACAACTCTAGAGAGGAAAAATAGATATTTTACCTGTAAAAAAGTGTTTTTTCTTCTAGTCCATACAATCCAAAATTTTCCACCTTTTTGATAGTCGTTTTATTACTGGAATCTTTAAAATACTCATTCATTTCAGCATTGAGAATTGCATAAAGATCCACATGTTTATCAATTATACGACCGAAGTAATTTGTTGCATTTGAAATATAAAAAGGTATTATCTGAAACATACACAGTAAATATATCCAGAAAGGAAACTTAATCTAACCAAAGACAAACATGCTACCTGACCTCATGTAAACAGGGATTTAAAAATAAACAAGGGAATATGCTAAAAACAAAGAAAAATAAACACCATACCAGAGCTGGGGGTGTGGTTCAATGGTAGAGCTCTTGCCTAGCACACAGGAGGTTATGAGTTCTATCCCCAGTATCTCAAAAAACAAAACAATTTAMAAGTGCCATACCATAAATAACTACAGTCTACTTTAAATCTAATGGATGATTTTTGGCAAATTGCATTATTTAAAAACTTCGTCTTAAATGTAGGTGTTCTTTTATTTACTTAAGAAAATTTTTTGTATGTGGCTCAAGGGATGGGACCCAGGGTCTTACACACTCTACCACTGAGCTACATTCCCAGCCCCCTTTATTTACCTTTAAACTGCATTTTAATAAACATTCATAAAACAGCTTTGCTGTCTCTTGAGCTCCTTCTCATCTTTTGTCATATAACAAGATGCATTTTATTAAAAAACCTAATGCACACCAGGTACCAGGGACAGACGAAGCCACACCCTACAGGGACACTCAGCAACCCAAGAGTGGACAGGCTACGCCAAACTGGTRTGTATTCAGGAGACACTTCACAGGTATTTGTAGCAGGATCACTGATGTGCCAGGSGAAATGTTGGCATGGGAGAGGGGACGCTGCCCTGCACATGCACAGCTACCAGAGTGTGTGGAGAAGATCGACCAGAAGGCAGAAACACCATGTGAAGGCAGGGATGGTGGGAATGAGGAGAAGTTACTTGGTGGGGTGGGGGTGGGCAGCACTGACTGGGAGGTGAGGCAAGAAAGCCAGGCAGGGAGGAAGTCAGTCTGAGATCAAAAGGGGTGAGGGGTCTCAGGTCTGACAGCCTGTGGCCCCTCTAACTTCATCACCTGTTGCCCTCACAACTCTCACTACCACTGAGCCTTTTCCTGCTCACAAACATAACACATAAATCTTTCCTAGGGACTCTGGGCTAGTTGGTTTCTCCACCAGGAGTGCTCTTCCCATGTCTGGATCCTTATCTCACTTGGGCCTCAATGCAGTTGACCTCTCTACAAACAGGCTCTCCCTACCCATAATTTCCAAAGACCCCTTGTTCCCTAGCACACTTATACCCAGACACCCTGACTACTTAACTGCATTTCATCCTCTTCACAGAACTTGTTATCATCTAGAGTCATGTTCCCTGGAGACCCTGTCCCAGTACTTGGATGTCCCAGTCATTCTCCAGCACTACAGAGAAAGCTGCCTTAATAAAACCCTCAGAGCTTCTCTACCCTCCCCCCAGGCAGGGAGTTCAGAGTTCCTTACTGCTTACAGTCTTCTCCCAAGAGTGCCACCAATGTAGTCCAGAATTCTCCCTTGTGGCTAGAGCCCCAAAGAGTCTGGCATTCCAGACAATACCCTGCTTGGTGATGACAGGAGGTGGCCCAGAGGATGAGGAAAACACTCCCTACAGTGTTAGGAGAGGTGGGCAGGGCATAATGTATATATAACAAATTTTTTTTTTGTACTAGGAATTGAACTCAGGGATGCTTAACCACTGAACCACATCCCCACCCAGCCCTTTTTTGTATTTTATTTAGTGACAGGGTCTCACTGAATTGCTTAGGGCCTCGCTAAATTGCTGAGGCTGGCTTTGAACTCATGGTCCTCCTGCCCAGTCTCCCWAGCTGCTGGGATTACAAGCGTGTGCCACTGCACCTGGCTCAATRACAAAGATTTTTAAAGATTCAAAGAAACATTTCAAGAGAAAATATACTAAACTGTCAGCAATTACTCTTTTAGGTGATTTAGGAGTAAAGGGAGAGGTTTTCCTCTCACATTTCCCAAATTATAAGGCTTTGTGTGTTAAGCTAAGGGCTTAGCATGCATGCAGGCGAATAAAATCCAGGCCTACAACTGGCATCAGACCTGGAAGTCTCCTCTGCACAGCATTAACACAGCAAAAGACAATTTATTTGGATGTGGCCAAAGGAAGTTCATAAGACTGGACACTCTGAACAGGAGGAGGTAGGGACAGCATTAGGCCTCCAGACAGGGTGACCAACTCACACTGGTTTTTCTGAGACTTTCCTGGATTTAGCCCTAAAAGTCCCACGTGTTGTGAAACCCCTCAGTTCTGATTTTGCAAATTGAGTAGGTACCTTCCAGCTACCTGCTATTTGCTTTAATTCTCCTCTCCCTAGTACCTTTGCAGATAAATAATTCATTTTGTTATGGTTACAGGATCCAAGATTCAAAAATTAATTGAATTTCTAAAACAATTAGAAAATATACTTAAAATATTAACAACAGCATTCCAAAACATGAAACACAAGGGATAAATTTAATGCAGTAAATATAAGACCTATTCACTGAAAACTCTTAACAATGCTTAGAGAAATTAAAGAGGACTTAGATAAACAGAGTGATATACCACAGTAATAAACTGGAAGACAGTGTTGACAGGATGTCAATTCTCCCAAATTACTCTATAGACTCACTGCAGTACCAATCAAACTCACAAGTAGAAAYTGGAAAGCTGATTCTAACATTTTGTATGATTATGCAAAGAAACAGAAAAAAGATACTGAAAAAGAACAGTGAAGATGAAAGACTTATCTACCAGTTTTCAAGACTAAAGCTACAATAATCAAGACAATGTAGCTTTGGCATAAGGATAAACAGAGGAACAGAGAGTTCAGAATTCATATATATGGTTTCTTAATTTATACCAAAGGTGCCAATGTCATTTAGGGCAAAAAGAAGGTCTTTATAATAAATAATGCTGGAGTAACTAACTATCCATTAGGATAAACATTGCCCCCTATCTGGGATTCACCACACACAAACATTAATTTAAAATGAAGAGATCAGACTTGTAAAATCATAAAGCTCCTAGGGGAAAAAAAAAAAAAGAAAATCTTCATGACCTCAGAATAAGCAAAAATTTATTACAACATGAAAAGCACAAAAAATAAAATTAAAAAGTGATAACTAGATTTCACTGAAATAAAAACTTTCCCTTTGTAACCAGGAGAARATAATAGCAACATATATATTATATATTCACAATAGGTAAAGAAGTCTTTAAAATGTAACATAAGGGGCTGGGGATGTGGCTCAAGTGGTAGCACGCTTGCCTAGCATGCGTGAGGCACTGGGTTAGATTCTCAGCACGTAAAAATAAAATAAAGATACTGTGTCCACCTAAAAAATTAAAAATAAATAAAATGTAACATAAGAAAAAAGCCTAATTTTTTTTTAAAGGGCAGCTGGGCACAGTGGAACATGCCTGCAATCCCAGTGACTCACGAAGCTTGAGGCAGGAGAAATCACAAGATTAAGCCGGCAACTGCACAAGCTCCTGTGTCAAAATGAAAAATAAACTAGGCACGGTGGCACATACCTGAATTCCATCGACTTGGGAGGCTGAGGCTGAAGGATTATGAGTTCAAAGCCAGCCTCAGCAACTTGGCAAGGCACTTAGCAACTAGTGAGACCCTGTCTCTAAATAAAATACAAAAAATGGCTGGGGATGTGGCCCAGCGATTAAGCGCCCCGCTGGGTTCAATTCCCTGGTACCAAAAAAATAAATAATTTATTTATTGGGGATGTGATGTAATGGTAGAACACCCCTGGGTTCAATCCCCAGTACCACACACACAAAAAAAGAGCAAAAATCCTGAAAAGCAAATTTATAAATTAAAAGATATAAATATACAATATAGCATGTGAAAAGATGATCAATATCCATAATCACAAAGGAACTACAAATAAAACAGCACAAATGCAACAGAATAAATATTTAAAGAATATTTAAATATTTTAGAATTTAGGCTAGAATTAAAGACCAAATGCCAAGTACTGATGACAATATGAGGTAAATGGAATTCTCATATGCAGGGCTGGTAAGAATGTAAAACGATATAATCACTTTAGAAAACATTTCTAATAAACCATACTTTCTTATAAACATATACTTTTATAACCCAACAATTATACTCCTAGGTCTTTTATTCTAGAAAAATGAAAATATATATTTAAAAAGACTCATAAAACAAATATTCAAAGCAGCCAGAAAATAGAAACAACCCAAATGTCCATCAACTTGTGAACAAACTATGGCACATCTATATAATCGAATCCTACACAGTAACATAAAGAAATCTCAAAGCACTGTACTGAGTAAAAGAAATCAGACTCAAGAAACTTCATTAATACAAAGCTACAGTAAAAGTAAAACAACTGACAGAAAGCAGATGGGTGGCTGCCAGGGACGATGGTGTAGGGCAAGGTCTCAGTGATAGGGGACAGAAGAGACCTTTTTGGGGTGATGAAAATGTCTGCATCTTGACACTAGTAGTGGTAGTTASATGACGATTTACATTTATCAAGACTTAACTATACACTTGAAATTAGTGATTTTTATTGTAGGTAAACTATACTTCAATAGAGCTATCTAAATTAGAGAGAAAGAAAGGAAGTGGGGGGGGGCGATGGGGAGATTGGGTTAGCAGGGTTCTGGGAAGGTGGTAGCAGTAAAATGCGAAAATTTTTTCAGTCCGTCTGAATCCTCACATGAGCTCAGACAGAGCAACAAAACAGCAACAAAACCAGGCACATAATTCATAACAACAATTGACAAAGTGGCCCAACGAATATCAAAATAAAAGCAGATAAAGAACAGGAGAAAAATCTAGATGATTTGGTTTTGGCAATGATTTTTTTTAAGATATAATACCTAAAGCATAATCCATGAAAGAAAAAATGTAAGCTGTCTTCATTAAAATAAAAAACTGCTCTGCAAAAGACACTATAAAGAGAATGAAAAGACAAACCGAGTAGGAGAAATTCTCTGCAAAACATATATTTGGCAAATATATGTTTGTTAAAATTTACAAAAAACTTTTTTTTTTTTTTTTGTACTAGGAACCAGACCCAGAGGTGTGCTCTACCACTGAGAAAAGGTCTCGTTAATCACCGAGGCTGGCCTTAGATTTGGCTCCTCCTGCTTCCTGATAATTTCTTGAGTGTCAGCCTCATCTGTCTTACTAGGGCTGGGCATGTAACTAAGTGGTAGAACATGTATTCAGCATATCCAAGGTCTCCCGGTCAATTCCCAACACAAAAAAGAAAAATGTAAATCAGAATTAGAAAAACATAGAAATGAGGGGATAAAACTCAGGGAAAAATTAGAAAGAAAAAAATTATTTCAATGATGAAAACTGTAGTGGATCAAACAGTGACCACCCCCAAAAGATATGTGCATRTCCTAATTCCCAAGGTCACTGTGACTGTGACCTTATTTGAAAAGGGTCTTTGTAGATGAAATCAAGTATCTCAAGATAAAGAGACCTTTCTGGATTAAAAGGTGGGTCTTCCTTCCAGTGACAAGTATCTTGTGGGGACACCAAGAGAAGAGAAGGCAATGTACAGGAGGCAGAGATGGGGGGGGGGGATGGGGCTGCAAGCCATGTCTGAAGCCAGGAGAGGCTGGAGGAGGCCAGAACTGGATTGTCCTCAGGAGGCTGAAGAGTGGCGGGGAGCATAGCCCTGATGACACCTGCATTTAGACTTCTGGCCTCCAAAACTGAAATACATCTATGTTGTTTTAAGTCACCAATTGTGGCAATCTGTGACAGCAGCACTAGGAAACCAAAACTAAAGAGAAAGCCTTAAGGGGAAAGAAGTGAAAAGGAGAAAAAAAAAGTAATGAAGAAATTGATGATGAGGGATTTCAAGGAAAATGATTTTTAACTCAGCAATTCGATTTGAATCTCAAGAATTTTCCTCATAGAAATTATCATTGTTATTTGAACAGAATTCATGTAGTCACTGTATTATTATTACTATTATTACACTAGTAGTAGTCATTCCAGGGACTGAACCCAGGGGCACTTAACCACTGAGGCCTCAGGCCTTTTATTTTTTATTTTCAGACAGGGTCTCACTAAATTGCTTAGGGCCTAAGCTGCTGAAGGTGGTCTCAGCCTCAAACATGCAATCTCCTGCCTCAGCCTTCCAACTTGCTAGGATTACCGGTATGTGCCACCTTCTTTTTTTTTTTTTTATGTTTTTTAGTTGTCAATGGACCTTTATTTTATTTATTTATATGTGGTGCTGAGGATTGTACCCAGTGCCTTACATGTGCAAGGCAAGCACTCTACTACTGAACTACAACCCAGCCCAGGTGTGTGCCACTTTTTACTGTATTACTTTTAACTGCCTCCAAGTGAAAACATTTTTTTTCCTGAAAAAAACAACTCCCAGATTGTCATGCATTTACTCAACTCATCATGGTTTTACATATAAACTTGGACTCTGAAATTAAGATATAAGAACACATTTTTATCATTAGATTAATGGCAGGATATTAATATTGAATATTATAAATCATAAATTACATTGTACTAAGATTCTGCTTAAAAAAATTACGATTCAACAATCACTGGACAAAAAAAATCTTAGAAGAACTTACTTTAATATATCCAAACATTGGTAGAGCTTGGTTGGATAATTTCCTTGGCATATCTATTTCTGGATTAATATGGTGTCTGTCAGGACAGATCCTTTTGTCTCTGGGGAAAAAAAATAAAACAATGACTAGCTGGCTTTGTTTTTTGTTGTGGTAGTGACAGTGCTGGGGATGGAAACCAGGGCCTTGCTCATTCTAGGCAAGTGCTCTACCACTGAGCCAAACCCCAAACCCCTCAAAATAACTAGATTTTTTTTTAAGAGGGGGGGGGGAGAGAGAGAGAGAAAATTTTTTAATATTTATTTTTTAGTTTTCGGCAGACACAACATCTTCGTATGTGGTGCTGAGGATCAAACCCGGGCCACATGCAAGCCAGGCGAGCGCGCTACCACTTGAGCCACATCCCCAGTCCCATGTGTTGGTATTCTTAAGCCTTTCAGATATTGCAAAAAAAAAAAAAAAAAA